CACTTTTTATATATAGAAAGAAGTTGTGTGTATTTTCAAAAGTCATGCCAAACGAATCCTTAGTCCCTATTTGATGGCTATTACTTTGACAAAATAGAGTTTTAAATAGTGATTTTTTGAAGAATGTGAGGTTGAAAAGTAGGAAAAATTATTGGATTTACGTGCAAAATATTTTATTATGTAAATACGTAGTGGTAAAAAATGTGTATGAGAGTTAAAAAAAAAATTGAAGGGAGACAAACGAGGGCATAATATACCGTATTATTTCTGTATCAGTCCTGAGTTTTGGGCTATGCATATTCAGTATAGTTTAAGCCCAACACACATGACATGTGAAACAAAAAGAGGAAATTACACAAATTCAGGTGTTTAAAAATTAATTTTCAAAAATAAAGTCTAAAGTTTATTTATTCAAAAATCGGATAATATATATTAAAACCCTAATTTTAACAAACACTACTCCCCCACTCCATCTCTCGCCTCCTGTCTTCATCCCCTCCCCTCCCCTCCCCTCCCTCTATGAATGGCACGATAGCAGTGTCGTGACGAGTCGGCACAGCGACGACGGCTAACTGCGTAGCACTTCTCTCTCTAAACACATGCAACCTCCTGTCTTCTTCCAAAACCTCCCGTCTCACTGTCCTCTCTCTTTCCCCCATCACCGACCCACTTCTTTCTCTAAACACATGCAACCGCAGCTTCGTCGGCCAGAAGGAGCCCAAATTGCCGCGATTTGCGGCTGTGAAATAACTTGTGTTCGATGCGGCGCGAAGAAACAACAGTATTTGAGAAGCACATTCACCCACTTCGACGACTCTTCATAGGCAAAGCACCGCGACCAGATCTGGGTGGTGTTTTGTGGTGGAGATTTTGTGGTGGTGTTTGTGTGGCTGTGGTGGTGTAATGTCTCTCAGTTAGTTCGATATGGTGGCTACGGCGGTGGTGTGATGTGGTGATGATGCTTATAGTGGTGTTGACATTGACGGGGGTGGAGGTGGTGGCGAGTTTGTGGTGGTTGTGGTGTGGTGCGGTGATGTCTGAGTTGTTGGCAGTGATAGGGATAGTGGTAGAATTGGTGGTAGCGACGAGAATGGAGGTGGTGGCGGGTTTGAGATTTTTTTTTTGTTGGATCTGGTGGTGACGGTTTTGTTGGTGGTGGTGCTGTTGTGGTGGCGACAGCGACGGCAATAGTGGTTTGATGCGACGGTAATGGTGGTGCTGTCAGATGTCGTAAGTGTTGGTGATGGTCATCAATTATTTGGTCGACTGTAACCATTAAATTGGATAATCTGTGACTAATAAATAATATGTGACCAATGAAAAAGATAATTTGTAATCATGAAATTACGTGTGATCTAAAAAATTTGATAATTTGTGACTGATTAATAAGTTGTGTCTCATAATATTTGTGATTTGTGACTTGTGACCTATTAATTTTTTTGATTTGTGACTTATGAAAATTTTAATCGTGACTGTAAAAAAATCTGCAACTTATAATTTTTTTGATTTGTGATCGAAAAATAATCTGTGATCAATTAATTTGATAAAATGTGACCAATAAATAAGTTGTGACTTATAAATATGCATATGTGACCATGAATTGTATAATTGTGATTTTAATATATTTAATTAATAAAATATATTTAATTAATTAACAAATACCCGATTTTTGCAATTTTTAAAACTTAAGGCCTGAAAATTGATTTNTAGTCCGTTATATTGAGACATATTTTGGGCATAGAAAGTGATCGAATTGGAAAATGATATCTGAATCAAAGTTGTAGTTAGATGAGTTAGCTTTCCAACTCATTTTGAATCGCCTCAATCGGATATTAGAACAAAAAGTTATAATAAAAAAACCGAAATAAGGTGCAACTGTCTCTTTAAAATAAGAAATTTCGTTACATAGTCCGTTATATTGAGACCTATTTTTGGCATAGAAAGTGATCGAATTGGAGAATAATGTTTGAATCAAAGTTGTAGAAAAATGAGTTATCTTTCCAAATCATTTTGAATTGCCTCAATCGGATATCGAAACACAAAGTTATGATAAAATCACTGAAAGAAGTTGCATCTGCCTGTTTAAAACAAAAAATTTTGTTACATAGTCCGTTATATTGAGATATATTTTTGGCATAAAAAGTGATCGAATTGGAGAATGATGTCTGAATCAAAGTTGTAGCTAGATGAATTAGCTTTCTAACTCATTTGAATTGCCTCAATCGGATATCAGAATACAAAGTTATAATAAAGAAACTGAATTAAGGTGCAGCTACCTGTTTAAAATAAGAAATTTTGTT